TAGGATTGACTTATTTTGGATTTTGATTAATATGTAATTGATAAACAACCAGGAGGCTAGGGAGGGGTTCTGCTCACAAATTCGCCATCTTTCTGGTATAGAGAGGCAAACCAGCATTAGCATCAATAGATGTGTTGATCTGGGGAAAACAGCTCTTTACATTGCAGCAGAGGATGACTCCCTTGTGTCACATTCGTCAGTTCCGCTTCCAGTGGATGCTTTTATCAGTAGATTTGGTGATCTTTCCATGGACTATTGTTCTCACTACAACTCTTCATTCAGATCCTCTCCTGAGAGTTTGTTGGATAGTTTGGAAAATTATTTGTACGTAAACAAGGTATGTTTTGCAGAAAGTTGGATTAGAGTTCTTTTTGAGTTGATTCAAAGCTGAACCGAAAGGCTTCTAAGTCATTTTACTTTCAACTAAATTTAAGCTTTTAGGGAGCCTTGGTGTTGCAAAACTGCCAAACCTATAGTGTTGAAGTAATTGGGCATGGACAAACTAAGATAAAGTTCACTTTGGGAACAATTGTTTTGTCACAGAAAAGTTTGACGTGGCATTTAAAAAAAAATAATTAAATCAGAACTTATGTACCTCATTGGCATTTCCCTTTGCTTTTGCAAAATTCTTTGGTTTTGATGACCTTTTTGTCTTTTCTTTCAGGCTTTCCGAAGAACCAATGCAAGGCATCACTCTGAACCACGAGCTCTATATCTCCACTCGGTATGGAAGTCTGCCTTACATCTTTGTTATTTCAAGCCTCGTTTCTGAGAAAACACTACAATATCAGCATTGTTTTAGGAGTTTAATGTTGAAATTGCAAACAGGTTTTGACACATCGTTCAGGATCACCAGCAATGCTTTCACTAATATACTCAGAAATTTTGAAAATGCTTCGCCTATGGGGATTTTTGGATTTTGATGTGGAGATATTCTTTCCTCACGATCGTCATAGTCTTCCCAGAGGTTATCATAAACAGAAAAGCAAGGAATCTGATAATGCACACATATTGACATCACAAGGCCTTTTGGTGGAGGTAACTTATCTTATCATGCAAACGTCTTTTTTTTGGGTCATTATTTGTATTATTGTATGTCACTGTGTTGGGCATGCTCAAACTCCTAGTTCCCTAATGAGTGTCATATTCGATGTGGTATTGCCTGTTGTTAATTGAATATTCTTGTAATTTAGGTATTTATTTGCCACTTATTCCTAGAGTGAGCAACTTTTCCCTTGAGGCTTCGTCCTAGTTTATCTGTGGTGATGGAAATGTAATCTATGGTACATTCAAGATCAAATTGTTTCCATGTGCTTTAGAATATTTACAGGTCGTGCTACTTTGATTGTAATACATATTTTTACTAAGAATGTAATGAGCCTACCTATAAGTTGGTGCCATATAAAAAACACCCCTATCTCTCATCACGATATACAATTCAACGACAAGTACAAAAATTGTGCTCACCAACCTTGATCCAGCTGCTGAAAATTGTTCAAAAAAGAAAAGGCTCTGTTAGGATTTAGATATCAACCATTAGATTGCAATTGAAAAGTTGTAGGCATGGATTTTGTGTTCACAAAAAGTAGGAGATAAATTTATAAATATATATGCTTCTTTGTATGTCCAAGCCTTTAATCCTAGCTTAATATGGTCTCATAGTTTACTGTATGTGCAGATTTTAAGAAATTTGAAGGATGCATTCTGGCCATTTCAGCATGATCAACCAGGGAATTTATTCTTGAGGGCAGCACGTGCTGCTAACTTCATTGATAGATCAAACATTAATGAAGACAGGTATTTCAGTCTGAAATGAATGTAATATCTACTTAAACTAATCTTAGATGTTAAAATAGTTGAGTTCCATAGAGCATTTCCTTGTACGTATTATATAAGTCCATATACATGAGATACTTTGTCTTTTCCAGTGGTTTTCAGCTTGCATCTGCTAAGGCTGCTCAACATAGACTAGATCGTGGTGTTTGGACTAGTGTACATTTTGGGGATATGAGGCGTGCCTTATCTGGTACGTATTCATTGCAGCTCATTTAATCCCAGTGTCAAGAAGGCAATGTCATATTGAATAGATTACTTTTCTTGATGCTGTTGAACTGATGGTAGCATAAGTTGAGATCTCACCCGGAATGTCATAGGGTTTGCACTATCTAAACTGTGCTTCAATAAGTTCAGGGTCCATTCCAATCCAGCATTTTAAATATTATCCTTAGTATCTGGCCAAAAAAAGTCTTATATTTAGTCATCTTTGCATAGCAGTTTTACGAGTAGTTTTGGAGGCTTGTGCGGTTATTATAAGAGAAAGCACCATTGTGGAAGGTGTTGTTTGTAGGCTGCTTATTTTATAAAGGCTTCTGTCATTTCTACTCTGTCAGAAGGCCTGTGATTTTATTGGTTCAATTTGAAAATTCCATTATATCATCTATATTGAGCTTTTAGTAGTTTCCTCCTGAGTCATGGGGCTGTAATAATTTTGGTTCGTTTGATAGGAAGAGAAACTGACTCGAAATTATCACACTATCTTAAGCATGTGTACATTTGTTTTTTGTGTAAACAAAAAGAGGGCTCTGTTACCAAGATGTTAGGATTATTAATGGGAATTGCAGATAAATTAAAGAGAGCTGCAGAAGAAAAGAAAGGGAAAGATTATGCCTTTTCATTCCTGTCTCTTTTGGAGGCTCCACATCCTTACATACAAAAGGAAAATACATGCTCCAATAGTCTGGTTGTGCCATGTGGCTCACGAAACCCTAACAATATTCTTGTAAGATGATAGACACTAGCTAACAGTCTGCCCTTTGCTACATCTACGCCCCTGAGATATATGCAATTTGAGCTTCATTGGTAGTACTGTATTTAGGATTTTGAGAGAACCTTGAGTCCAAATTTACAGAATGGAGAGAAAATCTTTTGGAATAAATTTACATAGTAAAAAAAAAAGAGGTCTCTAGTTTCTTTTGAGATTTTGTCGTCTGTGTTAATGAAGCTTAGTTATTCAAAACAGAGATAAAAGCACGAATTTAGTAAGTATTTTGGCAAATACTAAACCCTAAACCCTGAGTATTCCCAAGTGTCGTGATTAATTTTGGTTTCTTAAGCTAGATTTAGTTTGTAGAATTAATGTTTTTTCTCTTGGTACTTCTGGTGGATTACTTGACCACTTTACCGTACAGTTATTCTTATGAAATAAAATTTCATCTGTTCGTTCAAAAAAAGGATTCCCAAGTGCTGGCCCTTCACCCGCTTTGATTCCATAAGTTGAGGACCCGCTTGATGGGGATACTTTCTGGCAAATGTTATCCCATGCAAACACCAGGCCAAAATAGAATTATCTCACTTCTTTTTTTGCGCCTCAATATGACCTCGTTCCTCAAGATCTCTAGCCCCAACAGAAAGGAAATCCTTGTACTTGCTCCTTCATTTCATCAAAACTGAAATTTACATAGGAATGTCCCCATATTAACTGAACATTGTTCCTATTGTTACAGCATGTGAACGTCTTATTCTCCTGGAAGCTGATCCAAAGGAATTAAGAGACTACAGCATTCTTCTGTACCATTGTGGATTTTATGAACAATCACTTGAATATTTAAAGTTGTATCAGGACACAAAGGTAAGTTTCCTATGTATGTGTGATAACTTGTGACTTCGATAAGCAAATTAATAAAATATCTTTATTTGGATATGGCAGAGTCGCCCACTACGGAGGCAACCATCTGATTCATTAGCCATTCTTGAGGAAGATGCCGTGGAGAAATTGATGATACGCCTTAACCTAATTTTGATGGAGGATGGTTGGAGCAGGCCGTCATATGCTAGAAATTTTCTTGGTAATAACTCTGAACCATGGTAGTGCTTCATGTAAATTATTGCCGATAGCAGTACAAATCCCAATCAGTAGGAGGTTCATGTAAAGTGGGAAAAGAGGCACTTAATTGAACTTCATCCCAGAAAAGTTTTGTCTGGTTACATGTCTTATCTTGTGTAAATTGATGTATATAACATGTGCTTTTTATTCTCAGTAACAAAATGTTACTTTATTTGTGATTTGAGTAATAGTAGATTATGTGGAATCTTAAAAACAGAAGACTGATCTCTTGTCAGATATGTTGTGAACTTGTGAGATCTTTATTTACATAGGACTGTTCATTTAGACATAATCCTGTTCACATGACTAATGGTTCTGATTCAGTCTAGCAATATCACCTACCAAACTGTTATTTCAACAAGGGGAAAAACATAGCTATAGAGATAGCGTGGTTGCATCAACCCGCGATAGCTGAGTTTTTCTCTTTGAGTATGTATGACTGCAGGTTGGCACGAAACGAAAGTAGTGATAGTAACATCATTTCCATGGGGGATCCACGGCACTAAATTTTTTTGACACAAATTTTCAACCGTTAAATTGAAGTACAATGAATGTGTAAGATTAAACAAATTAATTGTTTTATTCTTAGAATTTCAGACACTCGATGGAGCTTGAACATTCATTCAATCGGGGGTCTGAGATTTCAAGTAACGTAGGTTCTACAATGTCCTGCATATTATGTGATTACAATTGCAGGACAACTGTCAAGAGTCTGGAAATGAGAAATAAAAAGAGAAAAACCTTCATTACTTTTTGAAATTTCCCTCACAAACAAACAAAGCAAAACAGACCTCTCCTCAACTGCATATTGACCAAAACATCTAATCCTATCCCTCACTGAATGAAATTGAGCTTATATAACCTTCACAGGGTTTGGGAGCTCTTAATCTGAATTTATAACAGTTTTAGTTTCCAACTTCTTCGAAATTAATACTTCCCCCTCAGAAAATAAAAAAAAGAGAACAGAAAAATGGCTGGAGCTTTGATTGGAGAGGCTTTTCTGTCTGCTTTAATTCAGGCTCTGTGCGACAAGCTTGTTTCCGGTGAGTTGATGGCCTTGTTCCGAGGAAGAAAACTTGATAATTCACTTATGGAGAAGCTGAAGATGACGTTGCTGACCCTTCATGCTCTGCTCAATGATGCAGAGGAGAAGCAGATTGTGAACCCTGCTGTTGGAATGTGGCTTGACGAGCTCAAGCATGCAATCTTCGATGCGGATGACCTACTGGACGAGATAGATACTAGAGCTCTGCAACATCAAACCAAGAAAACCCATGTGTGGAAATTCATTTCTACTTCTGTCAATCCTTCGTATCAAGGCATGAACATGAAGGGTAGGATAGAAGAGTTATTCAAAAGACTAGAACACGTAGCAAAACAGAAGAATATCCTTGGCCTTAGAGAAGGTGTTGGGGGCAATGTTTCACACAGAACTCTCACAACACCCTTCGTTGAGCCCGAATGTTGTACTTATGGTAGGGTTGGAGATAAAGAAAAGTTAGAAACACTCTTGTTATCTGATGATCCAGTTAGGAGCAACAATATATCTGTAACTAATCACCATAGTTGGGATGGGCGGGTTGGTAAGACAACCCTTGCTCAACTCCTTTACAATGATGACGAAGTGAAAGAGTATTTTGATATTGAAGCTTGGGCTTGTGTTTCTGAAGATTTTGATGCTATTAGGGTAATCAAAACCCTTCTTGAGTCAGTCACTTCAAAATCTTGTGGTATTTCAGATATGAGCTTGCTTCAAGTTGAGCTCAGGCAACAAGTGCGGGGAAAGAAATTTTTATTTGTGTTGGATGATCTCAAGAATGACAACTATAATGATTGGGATCTTCTACGGGCTCCTTTCACTTATGGAGAAAGGGGAAGTAAGGTAATTGTGACAACAAGGAACACAAGTGTTGCATCTATCATGCACACTGTTCCTATTCACTACTTAAAACAGTTGTCAGATGAAGATTGCCGGTTATTACTTGAAAGACATGCATTTAGAAATGAAAACCCCAGTGCACATCCAGACTTGGAAGAAATTGGTAAGAAAATTTCACGAACGTGCAACAGTTTGTCTTTAGCTGCAAAACCACTTGGGGTTCTCTTGAGTTGCAACCTAGAGTATAAGGAATGGAGTGGCATCTTGAATAGCAATCTTTGGGAGTTAGTGCATGATAAAAGTATTCTTCCGTCTCTAAGAATGACTTATCATTATCTCCCAAGTTATTTAAAACAATGCTTTGCTTATTGCTCCATTTTTCCAAAGGACTATGACTTTAAAAAGGAAGATGTCATTCTACTTTGGGTGGCAGAAGGTTTAATTGGACCTATATGTAAGTAAAAAGGTTCACCATCATCTTTTGCCTACACTGAAACGTTTACGAGTACTGTTGTTGTCAAGATATAAAAATATCACTCACTTACCAAATTGCATTGGTAATCACATACACTTGTGCTACATTGATCTCTCTTATACTGCAATTAAAAGGTTAGCAAATACATTGTGTACTCTCTACAATCTACAAACACTAATTTTGTTAGGTTGTTCAGCGCTCACGGAATTGCATGTGCAGATAAGAAAACTGATTAATTTGCGCCATCTTGATATTAGTGGAACTAACTTAAAAGACATGCCTGTGAAAATTGGTAGACTAAAAAGGTTGAGAACACTGACTACTTTTGTTGTGGGCAAATCTACTGGGTCAAGCATCGGAGAATTGACGGAGTTGACAAATCTTCAGGAAAACTTTGTATTTTGAATCTGCAAAATGTACTCGATGCAATGGTTGCCTTTCAGGCCAACTTGAAAGAAAAGAAAGATCTTAAGGAGTTAAGAGTTCGAATGGGGTGATAAGGATGCCCATGATTCCACAAAAGAGAGAGATGTACTTGACATGCTACAACCTCCCATAAACTTGGTGAAACTGACCTTGAAATTCTATGGTGAAATCACCTTCCCAAAATGGTTTGGAGACTCTGCCTTCCCTAACATACAGTTTATATGTCTCAGTGGTTGTAGTTATCCTTTGTCCTTGCCACCACTTGGGCAACTACCCGTTCTGCAAGAGCTAACTATAAAAAGTATGAAATCTGTCACGACTGTTGGTGTTGAGTTCTATAGTTGCAATGGATCTTCTGTATTTCGGCCATTTCAGTCACTGAAGAAGCATAAGTTTGATGAGATGCCAGAGTGGGAGGAATGGCTACCAAGTCCAGGTGGAGGTAACTGTCTAGACTTTGCTCGTCTTGAGAAGCTGATTTTATGGAAGTGTTCAAAGTTGAGAGGAAACTTGCCTAATCACCTTCGTTCCTTGAAGAAACCTTCAGTGTCGAGTTGTGAAGTTCTGCACGAAAGGGTGACCTATTATTTGTTCCTTGAAGAAACTTTCGTGCTCGGGTCAGACTTAATGATTTTCATATATGTACAAGTTCGGCCTGACTTGTTTATTAAGTGGACCAATTCTAGGCGGGCCGGCCCGACACGGCCTGTTTGACACTTTTAATTTTAATTGAGGACTGACCTGGCACGACCCATTTAACACCTTTAATTTTAATTTAGGACTATATATTTGGATATGATAATATTCACATAACTAATTTTTATGATTCAGTCTAACAATTGCACCTAATAAGAACATCATTTTCTTGGGCATGATGCTAGGGGTGGGCGCGGTTTGATTCGGTTCAATTCTACCTCAAATTGAAATTGAAATTGGAACTATTTAATCGGTTTAGTTCAATCTGGTTTTAGCAAAAAAATTATGAAACCAGCTGGTTCGGTTTGAACCAGTTCTGTTTTGGTTTCTGATTTTTCCGGTTTTGGACCGGATTATTATTATTTTTATACAAAATTTTTTTAATCGAATGTTTTCTTTGTATGTGATATATTTTTTTGGCTCTTTTGATTGCAATGCTTCTGTTCTACTGCTACTTTCTCCTTCTTCTTGTTGTACATGGAAACTTTGATGTCCAATACAGACATATGCAGATCAATATTCATAATACAATTCTAATAGTTAAACCACATATATTTCTGTATATGCAAGCGGGATGGTATTTTGTTGTCTTCTGTCATGTGTAGAATTCTACTTATTGTTGTATTATTCTAATTTTACATGTGGTCTTGTGTAATGCATGATTATTTATATTGCTAAAAATAGTCTGATCTGATGTTATACGGAACATCACCAAACACAGTATAACTTAGTTAGACTATTTATCCGGAACAACACCAAACACTTTATAATATTATGGATAAATAGTCAGTACTCTCCGGAATAGATTAATACTATCCGACGGAAATTAGTCAGTACAGTCCGATGTACCAAACGAGCCCAAGGACCTTGGAATTACGATCCTAGCTTTTAGCATTTTGGATGGTGGTGGATGTAAACCAATTTAGCAGAAAATATAATTAAATTGTTGCTGCGGCAACGAAATTGGTGCTAGATGACAAGAAGATGGAGGGCCCAAAGTTTCTGGATCCCCTGTTTCATACCCTAGCCAAAATTTAATCTTGCCTAAAGTATAACCTAAGCGGATATAAGCCTGCTAAATTTTGCTTCCAATTTCGGAGTTTAATTTGGTTCAAATTAGCGAGGCTTTTGTAAAATCTGTCATACGTACCTACATGGTTCTATATTGCATTTGCTTAATTAGTCATTTTTTGAGAGTGTAATTCAACTATAATAACTTATTTGTTAGCTTACATTCAGGGCCTCAGGCATAAGCAGGCAATGTGGCCGCCTAGGGCCCCAAAATTGGGAGGGCTCCCAATTTGTATAATACCCTATATATACATATCTATATTATTTTTAAAAACTATAATATATAAATATTATGTTAGGTCCAAACCAATTATTATAAATATAAAAAAACTGACCTAGTCATTCAATTCAAAACTAAAAAGAGGAAACTCAATAAAGGCCCACTCATTGTAAAAGCAAAAAACTAACCCAATTACTCAATTCAAAATTAAAAAAGGAAACTCGATAAAGACCCAATTTTTTTAAAAAAAACTTATAGCTTAAATCAATTAGGAAATTGAAAAGCACATGGTAGAAAAACTTGATTATGTAAAGTTAATTGATACTTTTGATTCGAAAATGCAAGACAAATGATATTTAAGTGATGATTTGATGCATTTTTTTAAGTTGTGTAAATTACATATTGATTGTTTCTTTTTATGTTATAATTGTGAATTTTAGTTCATATAATATTTTTTTTAACTTACTGAAGAAAAACAAATCTCATAAATATACATATAGAGTAGAAGGCCTCATTTAAGATGTTCGCTCAGAGCCTCCAAAACGTAGGACCGCTGATGCTTATATTAATGCATGGAGCAATAATGTTAGCTTAGTAGTCCTTGGATGGAGCTCTACCTGTCCGGCACAAGTATGATTCTCCTTTCATGGAGGATGATGTATTTTTTTCTCATACTTCTGTGGTTAGAACTTAGAACATGGGTGGCTTGGTTTTTCATCTTCTTTCAATACCATTGCCATCTTCAAGTGGGTGCAGATATGTTTCTCTACAAGCACGGCAGTTGAAAAGTGAATTGGTGATTGGCTGCTGCGTTAAAGATTTCATTGTAGGATATTTTTGTGCTTTGAACACCGCATATTAGCTATAACTTAGCTCTCTTTCTCTTTCTTTGTTCATCATCCTGATCTCTAACAGATGAGTGCCCCGACTGGGCTGCTGTTTGGGGAGTTAGGAAGTTTGGGGAATTGGGTTCTGTCTGGGGAGTTTAGGAAAATTACTTGGGTTTGGAGTTGGGCTACCCAAATAGTTGGAAGAAGAGTTGGGCCTAAAGGATTGGATAATTGGAAAAAATGTATGTACTTGTCTAATATGGTTCGGTTTTAATCGATTTTTCATGACATAAACAGAACCAGAGTCGGACCAAACCGGCCTGATTCGGTTTTGAATCCAGATTGACTATCAACACAGTTTTTTTCAGCTTGTTTTGTTTCGGTTCACTAGTTTCGTGGTTCAGATGTCCACCTCTAGAATTTTAGGTGAAATTGGGATTCATGAACTCTAATTTGGTTGGAACCAAAATGTAAGAACCCAACCTACATATTTCTCAAATTTTGAACATATTTATTAAAAAAAATATAGGATATGTGATTCAAGTGATTTTTTGAAATCTAAATTTGGACAAAACAAAATTCAAAATTTGAATTTTTTTGGTTCTCTTTTACTTTTCTTTTCACTAAACAAATAAAACTTCATAATTGAAGATGGCCACTGGGTAGATAAGAAGAAGCACACAGCAGAACAAATTCATTGCGCAATAATTACCCTATTTTACTAAATATTAAAACAAACAATCACTCTCATAATGCACCAAGCCACCCAAAAAGAATTAACCTAAAAAAGTATAAATAAATAAATAAAAACCCATAATTATCAAGCTAGCCAAGGGTCAAGGTAAGGCCAAACTTTATGCAATCACATATCTGCCTAGGTAGGCCCTAGGCCCTAGGCCCTAGGCTCTAGGCTGTACCTACAACCCTATAGCCCTTCACAAAGCATAGCTTCCTATAGCCTTTAGGCTCTACACTTGACCTATTAGTAGACTAGGTTGGTCCCACACCCCTACAGGCCTAGACTCTACCTAACACACTCAGGCCTTCTCCTGCTATCAAAAATAATAATTAAATAGCGAGGCTGCGCATAATGCGCACTATATCAGAGGCAGGCAGCCCCCACCAAAATGCGCTGTGGCCATCTTAAAAGCTAAACAGAGCATTTGCAGAAAAATGGATTGGAAAGTTATTAGTTAGGCTTCTGGTATCTTCCTACTGTAGCACCAGAGAAGAATTACTTTTTATTTCTTATTTTTCTGAAAATTTTGAGAAGTTTGTTTTTTATTATTTTTTATTATGAATGAGTATGGATCATAAAAGAATGTCGGAAACTAAAGTCTAAAATACCCATGTATTAGTAAGCACAAACGGAAATAAGGAATTATAATACTTTAAATACCCGATTTTAGTAAGTAAACATGTCATTACACTAAATCACTAAAAACAACAATATTATGAATGAGTATGGATCATAAAAGAATGTCGGAAACTAAAGTCTAAAATACCCATGTATTAGTAAGCACAAACGGAAATAAGGAATTATAATACTTTAAATACCCGATTTTAGTAAATAAACATGTCATTACACTAAATCACTAAAAACAACATCAACAAAATAGCATATAATTGATTCTGGGTTAAAACTGGCTTTGTTTTGTTTACCAAAAATTTCCTCTGTTTTTTTTTTTCAAGAACTTTTTAAGTGGGAGTTCATAGCCTGTTTGCAGAAACAGAAATCTTCAGA